GAAGGTTCTACACTAGCTGCCATACCTGAAATCTCTTAGAAGATTCCCTATTTAAACTCTCTGGCCCTATCTCACTTTACCGAAAGTACTACTCTTTAAGTTAAACCCATAACCCTGTGCTACTCCACTTTGGGAGACACCCAAGCTAACATTTGTCGCAAACTTTACTGTTATGGGCCTAGGTCTTACCCGAATAAGTCCCACTACAACGCTCCCTAACAGATGGGTGTCATGATACCCAACTATGCTACGCTATATCCCAATCTAGCTTGCATATACCCTTATTCGATGTTCGTACAAACTCAGTTTCTTCCGTGGCCGTCCACCAGATCAGACTTCTTTGTATTTCTGAATGTTTCGCGAAGCAGATCCTCCCAATCTGGTTAGCCGCCAAGCCAAGTTAGTGTTACTGTAACGCCCAGTGTCACGGACTTACTCGCACCTACTCAATCTACATCTTCGTACTCAGAGATCTTTACTAGATCAGGCGTTAACCGGTGTGACCGTCGAAATCCATACTACTTCACCTAACTCGGGATTTCTACTATACAGGTCCTCTGTCTGTAGATCCTATCTCGATTTATTCGTGTAATGCAACTCCGACATTCCGTCACACTTCCAATGTCCGAACAACATTGGTGCAACGTGATTTACAGGGTTACAACTCCCAGAAACAGACAGAGTTTACCGTAAGTTGGATACAGATGTCTAGATAATTATTCAATTCTGTCGACAGTGGGATTTGAACCCTAGACCTCTTGCATGGTGGTCCGACAACCTAACTACTTCACTAGATCGCCAGACCTTATATACTATATTCTAATTGTTTAAGTTTTTTTAAAACTGTTCAAATTTTTTATTATGCATAGTACTTATTAGACTCGCCAGTATTAGGCTATATATGTAACTTATAGATTTTCTTAAATAAAGAATTCTAAATTTTTTCTAGCATGCTTAATAATTATTTATATTCTATTGTCAAACTTATTTACAAGATTTAGTGCTATCTCAATTTCTTTTGTTATTTTTTAATAGAGTAAAATATCCAACTTTCAGTTATTTTTGTTTAGAAATAACAAACTAAATAAATAATAACTATAGTAATGTATAGATATATACTTATTTCTTAAAAGAAGTAACAAAATGATAAGAGCTCTAGCCTTGCTCAAATCTATTCTAGTCAACTATAATTACTAGACCTAATAGAAAACTAAAAACTAAAAAATAATAATAACTAAATATATTTAAATATTCAAATAATATCTTTAATATGGATCTTGATACTGGCTGGGAGTAGCCTTCTGTAGATAGAGATTAGGCAGGTATGTGCTTACATACACCTAGTTTCAGGAGGAAAATTGCTGCTGCGGCAGATCGTACTTGGGCACCATTTGGGCAGCTGAGTAAATCCGGAATTGCAACAAAGAGGACATTACTTAAAAAGTTTAGAAAAGCATCTAGGGCATTCTCCATTTCTTTTACATTAATACTTTCCTCAGATAATTCGAGAAATTGATGTAAAATTGATAGAGCCTTAGGTAATCTTTCATATAATCTCCACTTCTTAGACTTTTCTTTTGATTCTACTTTATCTGATACCTTGTCAAAGCTTAATCCTTTATGATCTGGTTTATATTGTTTTTGGCAATAACATTTAAATATAAAATATTCATTTTATCAAATAAATCTATAGAGTTAATCTTTTTCATATTTAATGTCATATATAAGGTATTCTTTAATGGATTATACTTGAAAGTTGATAAATTCTTTCTCAATTCTTCTAATTTGAAGCTACTCATATTTTGCAATAACTAGATTAGCTCCTCTATTTAAAGTATTTTTATCGTTGATAGATCAGAATTCTTCTTTTACTAGCTCCTCAGAAAAAAAGGTTCGTGGCCAAATTACAGAATAATTCTCTTTAGGCTGAACTAAATAGTTTTCTAGATTTTTGAATTCATTCTTAACTGATGAAATGGCTGGTCTTTTAAATCTATTCTCTTTTGCTGATCCAAGTAATCAAAGATTAAAATGTGATTTGAGAAAACTAACATTAATGAATTTAGAATATGGCTCTTCTACTAATTCCATAACTTTTTTCATAAAGCCTTTAAGTTCTCTATAGTCAATAAATTAGGTATAAGAATAAACAATATGTCAACTGTATTTATTAGCATTTGATGAACTTGCTAATGCAAAAGATTGCAAGAAAAGTATATATTCTGGTATAAGACTTAATGTATCTATATAAGCAATCAATATTTTAGATATTAAATCTTTACAAAAATTTTTTTTACTATCTAAAGAAGGTAGTTCAGAATTGGTGGAATTGGGTTTCTGTCTAGTATCAATATCAAGTATTGGGCAAAGAGGTTGATTTCTGTCAATATACTCATAGGAATCAACTATTTTATAAACTTTGAAAGGATATTCAACTAATGTAAAACCTTTTTCTTCTATCCAGATAATATATTGAAAATAAATCTCTTCAGGATGGTATACTTCTAAAAGTGCAGTATTATTTTTATTATTAAATGAAAGCAAATATTTATAATACGTATGTTTTCTATAGCCAGGTTTATAATCAAGATCTATTAAACTCATAAAAAGCTTTTTTGCTTTATTATATTCAGCCAACTTTTGATATAGATGCTATTAATGTAATAATTCACATAAACATTTTTTTGCTTTACTAGACAAACTTATTTTATTAATTTGTATATATGTTGTTTGTATATGTGCTATTTGATCTGACAAAAAGTATATGTTATTGAAACTATATTAATTGGTAGATAAATCTTTAAAATAAAATTAATTATTC